TCTCGAAATAGTCGACAAATCAGTGTACAGAGGATGCCAATTTGGTAGTGGAATAAACCACTCTTAATCCAAGCTCTACCAATTTAAAGTAGGAGACTCGGGTCAATGATGTCATATCTATTTTCATTGCCAACAACACTGGGCACAGCACATTCCAAGGTATTTCACAATCACCATGTCACTGTCTGAGACATACCATTATGCCACAGGGAGAGACAGGATGTATGTATCTCAAATTCTGCTGACAACACAATCCAGTGACTGTATCAGTGGTCTTAAAATTAAACATGTGCAATGGGTTGTTGCAACGTATCCAAACATGTGCGCTTTTATTTCACACAGCCAGGGCTCTGTACTTTTCACTTACAATTTATGTCACAATATTATAGTTCCTGGGCTCCCTGTGGTATTATTTTGTCAGAAATCATACTACTGACAACTATCAGTGGCTTTCACCTGTCAATATAATACAATGTAGTTTTGATTAGCCAAAGAGAAATGTGTCTTCTTTAAGGTTTGACCTGCATGATCCATGCCTTGTCAGTTCCACGTACTGTAAAGAGTTATAAAGGTTCAACACTACAGGGTTCTTCACAAATGTAATATTTGGTCTAGTCACAGGCATAGTGATAGTGAAGTATGTCCTTAAGGTAGCGACAGGGGAAAAACAAGAAAAAAAAAACATTTATCAAAAAATCTGATTATGTAACATTATATTGCATTCTTTATTTATGGTTTACCAAATTTACTGAGTGTGATGCATTTATTGCATAATTTCAGTTTATTTTCAAAAACACTGTTGTTGGTAAAACCATGGACGTACAGTTAGTATGTCCATGGTAAAACATTGCACTGTATATTTACATAACCAGTACAAGTGAAAGACAATGAATTTAATTAGCATACTGATTGAAATGTCATCTTTCTACACTAATCGTCACACTAACGATGCACAAATTAAATCTATTCATCACGTAATTTTGACAGACTGTCTCCAAAACTAGGAGGCATATACAAATTTCGAGATTCTATTTCAAAGATTATTAGTCCCCATTCGGACGAAGTCCGAAAATTTGGTCTTCGTCCATTCATCTATCCGTTCGTCCATGCGTGCGTGCGTGCGTCCAGAGTCATATTTCAGAATCCTTCAGACCGATTCCGTTCATTCTTTGTATGTGTCTAGTACTTTATGTGGGACATATGTACATCTGGTGGTTTAGTGTTTTGATTCAAAATGGCCGACTGGCAGCCATATTGCTTTTTTGAAAATGTTGTATTTTTGACATGCTTTGTCAGTTTTCATTCAAATTTGGTACATAGATTATACATGTTAGTATACTTGTCCTCCGACAGTTCATGTGTGCGTCCGTCCGTCCAGAGTCAGAATCCTTTGAACCGATTCCGTTCATTCTTTGCATGTGCCTAGTACTTTATGTGGGACATATGCACATCAGTGGTTTAGCATTTCTATTCAAAATGGCCGACTGGCAGCCATCTTTTTTTTGAAAATGTTGTATGCTTTGTCAGTTTTCATTCAAATTTGGCACATACTTTATACATGTTAGGATACATGTCCATAACAATTTGTTTAAAAATTGGATCAAGGATGGCCGATTGACAGCTATTTGACTTTTTGGCCTTACTACTATATTTCCAAGATTTATGTACCATTTTCAGTCGTATTTGGTGCATACATCATACATGTCAGTTTATTTCATAATCAGATCAAAGATGGCCGAATAACGACTGTTTTTATTTTTGGCCATATTACTATATCTCTGTCACCCATGTATCATTTTCATTGATATTTAGCATGTCATGTCATGTCAATTCAATTTGCAATTTGATCAAATATGGCCGACTGGTGGCCATCTTGTTTGTTTAAAATGTGATAACATTTTAGAATAGGGCCTATGCCTAGCTTACTCTTAATGCTGGTGTCTTTTTTGACATGCCACTTATTCTGACCTACGCTTTAACTCTGCTTGCCAATGGAGATTCACATTGATGCTACTGTTTGATTCGCCAATTACATGTCTTCTTGGCTTTTTTCACAGCTAGCAAGAGCCTTTCGCATATCTGGCATTGCTTTTCGCCTCTCAGATGGACAAGTGTAATTCACAGATAGATGACCATTGTTTGACACCCCCTGCCATGTGAATTTAAATTAGAGGCATGACAAACGTTAAATTGTATTCAAAGAGTTATTTTGAACTGATATTTATTAAAACTGCAAATTAGAGGACACAGCCTTCACCATATTATTCAACACAAGAGGGCACTTGACTTGTACAAAGGGTCTATTAGCCACTTTAGTCCAGAACTAACAATACAATTACAAAGAGTTGCAATTGCTGTATTACCTTTCCCAGAATCCCAAATTCGATTATTACACATATGTTAACATTTAAAGCCCCATGATTTATTGTAGCGCACCATGTCAACAAGCATTCATATTCATGAGATGTTTGGTAATGTAATATTAGTGCCTCATTCCGATCCTCAGACTTTTTCTCAAACATACTTTAAACAATTTTAGCAAGTGCAATAACATAGACCTGCACCTCAATTTGTTTTACTTTCACTTGTGATCTATGTTTTTCTTTGCTATGTTGTAAACCGGAGGGGTCATCATGCAACACGTGTTTGAATTTGATGTAAATAAACAATCTGTTGTATTTGCCACTTGGTACTCAAGTTTCAAGAACACGCTTGCGACATTCGCGACCAAAAGAACTTTTAAAATTTAACGGGCACTGTGTCATTTTCAATAACTTGTTATCTTGTGAATTAACATCGAAAAAATCAATGAATGTACAAACTATGAGAAACAGTGAATCTCGTTTTGTTTTTTTTAACGATTCATTTCCGTAACGAAGTCTCCTCAGAAAATATTAACAAGAAAAGTACTCTATTATATCCTGTGTGCCACAAACCATATCATACTTTGCTAGTGGTATTCACAACACAGCTGGGATTACACAATTGTCAATGTATTCCTTCCTTAATTTGATTACCGTACTGCTATGTGGCTGTCATTCTTCTAGGGATGTACGATGATAAGATGTAAAATTATTTTTAATCTATAATTGTTGTAAAACTCTTGAAAATGTTACATGCAATTTTACAATGCTCAAATTATATGTAGCATAATTCTAATTAATTTTGATTAAATGTCCTATGTGCATAACCATTTAGACCACGCATCCTGTTACTTTATGGAATGGTATTTCAAAACAGCAATAATTTCCAATATTATGTCTCACTGTTTGTCAAGTAAACTATTTTGAACTGAGTGATCGCGAGCACTTTTTAGAGAAAAAATAATTGCAATTCTCACTGATAGTGAATGTGTACCCCAAGAATTGACTTAGTTTAAATAGGAAAAATAAGTATTTTAGGTAAAAAAAAAAAACAATAAGAAAATGATGTGGTAATGATTTTTTTGGTTTTTTGTATTTCGATACTACAACAAGATATACGTTCAAACATCGTTAAATAATGCTTTTTAATACATGCATTGAAGGTTTTTGAATCAACAAAACATCCTTTGAAACAGAAAACAAAACATTTTTCCATTCCATCATATGTGGTGCACTTTACTGGTACAAAAAATGTGTGAGGCTCAGGTTTCAAACTGATGTGCACGATGACAAGAAGCCAATTTTTTTTTTTTTTTTGGCCTTACTGATTTCTATATATTTGTAAGAAATTTCTTTACTGTTATAACAGTATTTAAATACAGTTTTATACCATTGTCAGTCTCGTAAAACTTTCTTCTTTCAGAATTGACAGTTACCAGTGATGGCAAGAAGCACTGCTTCAATATCAGATTTAGACCTCAGCTTGACCGGCTCACATATTTCAACAGGAAAGCGTCCCAATTCGGCTGGAAGAGCAAGACCAAACTCTAGCTCTGGAAAGAGACCAGGAACAGCTGTGAGTTACTTTTGATATTAATAAACATGAATTGTGATATAAGAGTAGTATATCAGCTGGTGATAAATATGAATTATGATATAGCAAGACTTATTTTATTTCTTCTCTTATCAAATACAGACTGGTGCCACAAGACGGGTCGGTGCAGGCGGAGACGCAAAACCGAAACAGAGAAAAGGTTTGTGTATAGTTTCTTTATCTGTTTACTTTAATCTTTTCACTACTACTTAACACTTTTCTTTTGAAGATTACGACAAAAATTTGGGAGAAAAAGGTTGGTAGTGAAAGGGTTAAAGTAAAGTGTAATATGTGTGCCAATTCTTTTTAGATTTAGATAATTGCTACGTTCACACGACAGCATTTTATGTGTTCGACAGGAGCCGGCTCGAGCCAAGTTCGGCTCCACTAAACCCTCAGGGTTGAACTCCGATAGGGTTGAGTCCCGACATGGCTCTGATCGTGTAAACGTATCGGGTCCCAACTATCAGAGCTAAAATCACGTCTTCTTCGAGTAACCTATCATTTCAATTATGGCGGAGACAATTTCACGCAATTGACGGCTTGAATAAGAGGTACGCATCCTAATATATAGTAACGAATCATTGCGATAGATTGATAGCTCAACGGGAAACAAAAAATAACATATGAAATTATGCGACAAAAACTTGAAAGAACGACTGACCGGAAACTTTTTAAAGACCACTAAAGATAAAAATCGTAGAAGCGATCGCGGTACGGTGACGTGTTCCTAGTAGGTTTAGATTCTTCCATAGTTTCTCTATGATAGATAGAGAGAATCTGTGATTCTTCCTAGTAGTTTAGATATCACTACAGTTGAATAGTTACAAAATGGTAATTTTGCATGACAATAACTTGAGCAAATAGGCTGTATTAAACGCATTTTAGCTGCCGTGTTTCCTGTTTATTCAAGATACTAGTACCTAAATAGTAATACCAGTCATTGTCTTTTCTACCTCCATGCTCAGGCTCTTTTTTCTCCTAGCTCAACAGCATCATGCCATGTAAAGAAAAAACACAAGCATGACACTAAAATCGTTTGCAGTCACTAATTATTCAAGGGCACTGTTCCGTTCGGCTCTGATCGAACTGAATCGAACTCTGGCAGATCTTGGCTATTGTTCAGCTCCCGGCCGTATGAACGCATTGGAGATAATCTCCTGTTAATCCGTGGGAGGAGCAGTAGTTCGGCTCTGATAGAATACTGCCATGTGAACATAGCAATAGTCACACATTGCTATTTTGTTTGCTTACCATACTAAAAAGGACTATACAAACCAACCAATTAATCATGTTGACAACATAAATGTTGGTACTGTACAAAAATGACTTGCTCATAGATTAGCATATATTGATTCAGTGCAAGTTGGTGTATTTAATTGATCCCTCAAAATCACTATTATTTGATTCTTGTGCACTACTATTGCTATTATGGTTTTAAATATATCATAGAAAAATAATATTGCCCTTCTAAAAAATTCAACCACCGAATTCTTTAAAAGATTTTTATAAATTTTTGGCCTCTAAAATTTTTACCTATTACAGAATTGTGTGTTTTGGGTTCTTCTTTGATTTTTAATCCTCGTTTGGACGCAGTCCGAAAACGGGGACTTATGTTTTGACGTCCGTGCGTGCGTGTGCGCTTGCGTGCGTCTGTGCGTGCGTCCGGACCTGTATCTTAGAAATGCCTGGACCAATCACAATCAAACTTCACACATACATCATACATGATATCATACATATGCACATCAATTTGTTTCATGATCTGATTCAAGATGGCCATTTTTGTGCTAAAAATCATCAAAATCGAGCATTTCCCGGTTGTTTACAGATGGATTTTGTTCAAACCTTGTATATACGTTGGACATTATAGGACCTTGATGCACATCATTTTGTTTTACGATCTGATTCAAGATGGCCGAATGGCGGCCATTTTTGTGCTAAAAAATCATAAAAAGCAACCATTTCTCGGCTGTTTACAGATGGATTTTGCTCAAACTTGGTATATACATTAGACATTATGGGACCTTGATGCAAATAATTTTGTTTTTAAGATAACATTCAAAATGGCCGACTGGCGGCCATTTTGTATTAATCAATGTGGTTCTCGTGCCATATCTCCAATATATTGTTTTGACTGATTATGTTCAAAATTTTAAATATTCATTATACTTCATGTCATAGATATATTAGTTTGACGATCCTATTCAAAATGGCCGAATGGTTGTCATTTTTGTACTAAAAAATCATCAAATATCAAGCATTTCTGGCATTTATGGATGGATTTCGTTCAAACTTGGTACATACATTAGACATTACGCTTCCTGATGCACGTCATTTTATTTTTCAGATCAGATTCAAAATGGCTGTCTGGCGGCCATTTTGTTTTAATGAATGGGTTTCCCGACCCATATCTCTGACTTGTTTTGTCTGATTATGTTCAAATTTTTAATATTCATTTTCCATCATGTCACAGATATACGGATATATTGGTTTGATGATCTTTTTTAAAGTGTGCTATTTTTGTGCTAAAAAAATCCTCGAATATCAAGCATTTCTTGCATTTATGGATGGATTTTGTTCAAACTTATAACACATGTTAGACATTACAGGTTCCTGATGCATGTCATTTTATTTTCACATTGGATTCAAAATAGCTGACTGGCGGCCATTTTGTTTTATTGATTGGGCTTCTAGAGCCATATCTCTTAAATACTTTGACTGATTATATTCAAATTTTATATATTCGTTATACATCATTATATATATATATATATATATATATATATATACATGTATT